TATTGTAGACAGAAACAATACTGTACTACATCGATGTTTCCTGTCGGCTCAATTTTTGAGTGGACGTTGCTGTTCCAATTCACATGAACGGTATATGAGTGGAGCGACTGAGCGGAGCGCACACGCATAGAGCGGGATAATACGCAGAGCGTCACACCACGTGAAAGTGAAACCTGAGCGGTGAACTCATTTTCGGCAGCCGAAATTTCGGTGCATCTCTAATTATTGGCGACATCAGAAATGGATATTATATAATAGATGCTTTTTTGAACATTTTAGCAATTTAAAAATATTAAAAAAGGATTTTTTTACACGGCACCCCTGCTCTCGACAGACGGGTGCCACGGCACCCCAGTTGGGAAACACTGGCCTAAGCCAACAAACTGATAACCATTTATAAAGACAATTCATTCCTGAACACACACAGTTTAGCACTGATATACTGTGCAACAAACAGAAATGCAAACATAATGACTGTTTCCAAACAGGTCGCCATTAGTCCCGCCTCCAAACTCACGCTATTGGTCAATGTTAGAATTTCAGTACTAAAAAAAAAAATCACACTTTTTGTTTAAGAAACATGAATTGATTAATATTTTGTTTGAATGCCACTATTTAAGAGAGAATGTTTTGTACGTGGCAGACTAAGACATGGTTAGATTATAGTTGAATAACTGGAAATAGCTAAAAAAGAAAATTTTATCTAACAATAATTGCAAAGTAAAGCAATACAGGTTTATTGATTATATGATTAATTGATCAGTGTTCAATAAATAGTTAAACTAAACCCATACAGCACAAAACATAAATCTTTAATATATTTTATGTTAAAATACAGGTAAAATAAAATGTTTCATTATATTAAATTATTATTAATATATATTTAAAGTCCATTGTAGTTGTTTGTTTGTTTTTTTATTTATTGCATTTTTTTTAAACGAGCTGAAACCTGGTAATAGCAATAAGATTAAAGATCAATGTTTAATAAATAAAGTAAACCCATACAGCACAAAAAAACACTCTTTATAGGCAAATTATTATGCTAAAATACAGGTGGAAAATATGTTTAAATTCTATTTTATTATTATTTAAATTGAAAATTAAAATTGTACTTTTATTTTATATATATATATATATATATATATATATACTGTATGTATAT